TCCAACCCATAACCCTGTATTATATATTTAACACTATGAACTCTTCTTCTGCACTTTTCTTCCAAGAGTCTTATAAAACCTTCAAACAGTTGAAGAGACAGCCTATTTGGAAATAGCTATGCCCTATGGCAGGTATGTCCAACAGGTAGATCGAGGGGTCAGAGGTAGATCACCAGCCCCATTTAGTCTCCTGATTTGCTGGACAGGTGTTTTTTTTAAAAAAAAATAATTGCCTCACTAATGAGCAAGAGCAAAGTTTTAAAGATTGCGCAAGATCAGCCTGGATCAATACTTGACCTACATTTAACACAAATCACTCTGAATAAAAGCTAAATAAAGTTATTGAGACAGTTAAAGAAAGTTATAACTCAATAAAAAATAAAAAATGTTCACAGTTCTTTCTGGATCTTCGTCTCTCTGTTTTGTTTTTGCTTATTTTGCTTACCAGTAAATGACAGAAGGTGCATTATAAATGGGTGTGTGTGTGGAACCCAACTTTAGTGGGTTAAAATCTAATTTGAAACTAATTTGAAACTTTATTTTCATGGTGGTAGATCACCGGCACTTTTGGCTGGAAAAAATAGATCACTACCTGTTCGAAGTTGGACATGCCTGTCTTATGGTATGGGAGCAGCAAAGATGCTTTTCTAACAAGTTTTTGATTTCTTTCAAGCTTCCAATGTGCTACAGTTGACTATGATGCCTATGTGGGAAAGCTGGCTAGTAAAATGCCGAGGGCTAGTAATGTTTGCAGAATGACTTGCAAGGGCAAGATCCAGCCAGGCTTTCTTCCTGTATGTCTCATTTTCTACTTGTCTAAAGAAGGCATTTATGAACCTTTTCTGCTTTCTAGCCCAAGTGCCTGCTTCTGTTCACTTCATCTTAGTATCTAAAATTCTACCACAAAACTAATTAAATGCCAACTTGTAATTGGAGAAAATATCACGGTAGAGCAATATTTTGCTTTTCCCATTTAAAAATAAAACCCACTAACCGTTTTAGTGCAAGAAGAGTCCCGTGCCACTCAAAATTTTGCTTTTTACCATTGGAAGTTCAAAGGAGACGAGACACTGGCAGATCCATAATTGGATAACGAAAAGAAACCACTTAAAATCACTTGACAGCGTCCCCCCATTTGGATGGGGTCATTAGGGGATCCCCTGGAATTACGGCGCATTCTGCATCTAGCATTTGCTCCGTTCTTTTACCAACCCACACTGGAACCAATGCTCCCTCTAAGCTGTGGAGTCCTGTGAGCAAAAATTCTACTTTGTGAACTACTGGTATTAAAGTTGTGAGAGAGCAATTTTGCAACTGCATAAATTAGTTTGCTCTGGAGCCATCCTTCCTGAACTAAGACAAAAATGCGTGAGCCGGAGGTTAAAAAACTGTGAGCTAGCTCACGCTAACTCAGCTTAGAGGGACCACTGACTGGAATAGAAAAAAATGCGGCTCAAAACCACATTCAAATAAACCAGGCCAATGCCCGCCTACTGCAGAGTCACCCCTGAATGGCCATAAAACAGCCATAAATCTATGCAGATAGTACCACAAAACCAAGAGATCAAAGGAAGTGAAACCAGCATGCAGTCTGGACACTGCCATAAAATCCAATGATCAACCAAAGTGAAAGTGGCATGCAGCTTCTGTTCCAACATAGGTTTGGTAAAACAGCAGAGCAAATGCTAGATGCAGAATGGGCTAAAAGCTCATCTCCAGACTACAGAGATCTGTTCCCCTGGAAAAAATGGATGTTCTGGAGGGTGAACTCTATGGCATTGTACCCCACCGAGGTTTCTATCCTCCCCAGGCTCCATCTCCAAATATTCAGGAGTTTCCCAACCTGGATCTAGCCACACTACGCGCACCTCCCCCCCAGCCCCTGCCGGTGGCCAAAGCAGACTGGGCAACCCTAGGGGAGGCAGTTGTTTACTCCTTTCCTTTTCCCGGATACAAATTGCCCTTCAAATTTACAGGAAATAGGCAGCTCAAATAGAGTGATTTGTGTCAGGAAAATGGCAGAGAGAGAAAAGGTTTGGAACCCTCCCCGGCACCAAGGCCATAATCTGAACCCCCCTTTCCCCAATGGCTGTATTTACTTTTTAAATACAAAGAGCCAGTATAAATCTGCTTGCATCTCTGGCCCTTGAGCACTATGGATTGGATCAAGCAATTCCTTTCTACTCAGCCAAGCTCCATGAGGAAGGAGCCATGACACGTCAGGAGACTGCACACTAAGCAAAATAAAAGTTCTATTGAAACCGTCCCTATGTTCTTCCCCCCAAATAAGGACATGGTTCCATCTACTGTGATCCATCATCAGTGCTTACAAAACACGCTTGATTGGGAGCAACACACTGAACTCTGTGTGCTTACTTCTGAGTAAACATGCAAAAGATTGGACTGCAAGACTTGAATATAGAGTGTCTCTGCTGATTTCTTCCGGTGCAGCTGTCTTCAGACTCCCATCGTTTTACATCCTAATAGCCCCTATTTTCAAATACTAATGTAAGACTTTATTCTTTGGGCTTTAAAGGAACAGTGAAGGAACTGTAAGTGGTATTTCCAAATTCCATGAATTAAAACGTGGGCCGAAAGCTTCTGTAAGCATTACAGCAAATGTGCGAACACAGCTGCTTGAACAAAAGGCAAATGTTCAAAAGATTGAAATATATCTAAATGCTGCTTTTAAGAAAGAACCTACTTGCTTGACTTCAAGGGAAGGTCTAGAAGTCTAGGAAGTTTACTTTTTACCTCAAAGCCTGCATTGATTGTGAGATTGAAACTAATGTGTTTTTTTTTTTTTAATGATTCTTAAGTTTCCTTGTCATCTGAATTTCAACAGCCTCTTCTTCCATAAAGAGGAATGGTCCAGGTCACTTCAACCCTCAGGCTAATTATGTGAGTAGCATAAGCATTTTTTTTCTTGGAAATTCCATCAGCAAAGACATTGACAAAATCCACCCTGAGCCCTTATGTGCTTGTGGCAGCAGCACCAGGAGTTGTTAATTCCATAGAATTAAACTTGGGCTAACCACTAATTTGCGGAAGAGATGGACAGCTGCCAAGCTTGCCTGGTAGAACTCATTGTGTGAGCAGAGCCCATCCTGGAGGGACTTTCCACAGACCTTTTCACAAACAACATTTTGCCTCAGTAGGTGGCCTCGGCTGACATTATGAATGGCACTAGATGATTTCCCTGGCAGGGGGTGTGTGAGCGTGTGTGTGAAATTCACCAGAGGGCTCTGATTCCTGTGGTATACCTAAATTCTTGACCAGCTTGATGTAAAGGGCTCTCTGTGGTTTTCAGTTCCAGGTTTAATGAAGCCATGTCATTCATTCCATGTGTATGCAGCTTAGAATCCAACATGTTCTTTTGGGGCCTTCATGGCGCTATACAGAATGTACTTTGAGCCATTCCAGAGGCCTGCCGAAGTCAACGGTTGGATGGAGAGTGAGTAGATCATAGCATCAGTCATGCAGAGAATCCTGAAAAGGCATTTACAACAACGATCAGGATACCGGTGTTTTCATACACACCAACATCATCTATTAGAATCTGTTGTGAGAGCTGGTGCCAAATAATGAATCCACACGAGCCCTGTACAGACAACCTGTCCCTAAACTGAATGACTACATGGGGAGGGAGTGCCAGGTGGTCTGCATGGTGTGCAAGTGTGGAGGAAGTGTCCATGTGTACACTCCCTCCCCACGATCAACACTACTTTCCAAAGGTTCCCATCACAGGGAGGGGGCATACACATGGACACTTTCTCTGCACATTCATGCCATGCAGAGCACCTGGCGAGCAGGTGGAGGCAGGGGGTGCAGCCAGTACGCTCATGCCTCTTCTTCTTCCCCATGCAGATCATCTTTACAGGGATATGGTGTTTGCTGGCAAGGAAAAGGGAACAAATTAATTCTACTGCTCAATATGACTAGGGCCTGTGAGCCCTCTTGCAAATTAGCTCTTAATTTCAATTGGTCCCATAAAACTAAACAGATCCTTGATGTTGTAGCCCCCCCGAGCACATAAGATGGACTTGATCAACTTCTTTGCTGGTGAAATTCTAAAAAACACATGGGAATACACATAATGAGGGTGAAAAGATTGTCCTCCTCACGTGAAACAATGTTAATAAAACCAAATATTTGATTTCAATGGAAAAACACACTTTCCAGCAGAATGATCTGCCTCCAAAGGGTTTGTTCTCTGGGCCTTTATATACGATGAGTAGGGAGGCCATGTTCCAGTCAGACTCTGAGCGTCTTTCTAATGACATTATGATGGCACATAGAAGCCACTGTTGCCTAGGATCTCCCAAAATGATGGCAACTTCAGCAAAAGAATATAAATGTTTGTATATCTCTGTGCTGGTATATTGCACATGACTGCACCCGAGCCATGTATTTAGAACAGCAGTCTACTCAGAAGTAAGTTCTATTTTCTTCAACGTGCCTACTCCCAGGAACGTATTCTTAAAACTGCAACCTAAAGGAAGAATAGACACTACTGCACGTCTACCCTAGCCCTTGTGTTTATTAAATCCCCCAAAGTGGTTGCAGAAGGTGACACATTACAACTTCCTCCAAGAAATGTAAGCCCTAACCTAATCTTGGAATTCCTTCTGGAACAGAAGTGGAATTCCCGATCCATGCAGTGCTCACATGCAATATCTCTGCAGACATGAGTATGTTTCAGTACACAAGTAGCTCCACTTCCACTCTGAATCTAAATTCTCCTGGCAGAAGCTTACACAGAAATAGAAAAATTCATGTTTGTAAGATTCAATTGTGCTATTTCTTTGACTCCAGTTTTGCCCATACAAGTATCTTAGCTCTGTGGCAGGACATTTTTTTAAAAGATTAAAAAAGAAAGCTGTCTTGAGGCAAAAGGATAAAACATTCAACATTTTTCTCCTATAGCTTTTTTGTATATTTTTAAAAAAACATTTAATATATATGTGTATGTATAAATATATCACAAATGGTACCATTTTCTGTGTTTCAGTACAGACTTACAAGCTATACTGAAGTATGAATTCTACAATTTTACATCTACAACAGTACTTAATTGTAGTGTTCCCCCTCCCTGCCCCGGTTAAAAAAAATTATCCCTGTGGACCAAAATACAGCATGAAAGATTCAGTGTGAAGATCATTTCATGGTTGATTCACTTTCAAGATGTGACTCAAATAGTATTGTGAAAATACAACCACATGGTGAATTTGCATGAAACTGCAACTGGGGCCAGTTCTCAAACCGAGCCATCCAGGAAAGGGCTTGGGAGGGAGGCACAGTAGGGAAGGTGCTGAAACACCACAGGGACTCAGCTCATGTTAGCACATGTCAGTTCCTAGATCCATGCCACCCCTAGCTGGGTCCAAGCCAAGTCCCTATCGTAATGTCGCAGGGTTGTGGCTTGGACCAGCCACCATCATTGTCAGGGGAGCCGGACCTTGGGGTGACCAAGTACCTTGAAGCAGCCCTAACTTTAACCTGAAACATGGCAGGAAGAAAACGAATCACCATTACAAAACCATATCGCTACATGAAAACTAGGAAGAAAAGTCACCTCGTGGTGACCTTTACTCCTTTAAGATGGACATACCAAGTTATGGTCAAATTGACATGGCTTCCTTCAGAGTCAACTGCTCACATCAGTGCAACACTGGAAGTGGAAGAGCTGAAGTATGTCCCTCTCTGCTCGTCTTTCACACTCAGCATTGCTTACGGGGCAGAACCACAAACTCGGGGCTCCCAGCCTCATGTTCCTCTTGAAACCCTAATGCTAGGGGTGAGAAATTTGCAGGGGGCAATTAATGAGTGCTTGGGTCTTCTTGGCCTGCTGAGCACCCACTGCAAATGCCCCTCTGGTCTTTTCCCCACTGTTTTTCTCTCAGCCAAGCTGTGAGACCAGAAACAGCCTGATTTGGGGGGGGGGAGAGACCTGAGGGGCACTTGTAGGGAAGAACTGGCAGGCACAGAAAGGGCTAAACTTCTTTCTCTTTTGTGCTGATTCTCTACTCCAACCTCCCTCCTCATTTTTACATTAACTTTGCAGGACATGTATTTAGAGAGCATACTCTAATTGTGTGAATCTTCCTGATTCTCCTTAACCATTTTTTAAAAATCTATCTAAGGATGCAGGAAAGGAGGACAAAAACATCACCTTCCCAAACCATTTCTCTGTCATTCATCCACATAATACCCCTGTTTCCTTGTCACTCTCTTCTAGGAGAGTGGGCTTCATGCTTTGCTATCATCAGCCTGGTGGTCCCTCATTAAAACATGCACTGCTCTTAGGTATGATTTCCTGAACCCGCATTCCGAAGAGCCACAGTTGCCTTTCCTCATCCAAAGTGGTAAGAGGACCTCAACTTCTATGGGACACTCTCTCCTATTCCCAAATGGACACTCTGTCTTAGAAAGATCAATTGAATCACCTGCTCAAGACATCTGAACAGTCTTTTCCTCCTCTATTCACCTTATGGGAGCAGTGAGCGCATCACAGTGTTATGATGGTATCACAGATGGATGAAGTGTGTTAGCTGTGAAAATGATGGGCCCTCGCCGGCTGGCAGCTATTGCCAATCACTTGCTAAATGGTCCCATTCTATAAAATGATTCACATCTTTGAGGATGAATGAAAATTGTACCCACCATGCCAATGGTCCCATGGACTATGAAAATTATTCCCAATGGGTTGGTGAATTCTATTTCAGAACAACACATTTTAGACCTCCCAGGCACTGACTGTGGATGATTTTTTAGAGCTTGTGCATGTTTCATTTACCCTTTAATTGCTGCATTATGGTGTTAAGCGGCTGCATTGAGCTCTAGGCAGTTGCAAGTCTATTCCTAAGCAACAGCTGGGGGTAATGGTATTAGTGATGGGCAGGAATCTACTGGAGAATCATTGCCGCCTACTTCTAGTGTAACACAGCGAAATAATGATGGGTACAAACAATTTATCCTGGGTCTGATTGTAATGCAAGCATGTGCTCTGATCCAGTATGACTGGTGCACAAAGGAAGCTCCACATGAACAGGGCTTCTTTGCTCATTTCAATGTCTGGGGATTTTCACCAGCGTACTCCAGTACTGAAGTGAATACGGCAGACATTTCTTCCACTTTGTTCCATACGCACATCAGAACCATCTATAGCTTTGGAACAGGGCTCATGGCCCTTGCCTATTCCTTTTTTTAAGCTTGGAATCGACAATGAAATAAAACTTAAGGCTTTGGTCCAAAGCATGCTAGGAAGTAAGTCCCTTTAAACAAAATGGAGTTTACCCCTGGGTCAGGCCATAGAATTTTGCAACAATTTCATAATTGACATGGGTCGTGCAAATGGCACTTTCTGTAACCAGGACAAATTTCAGAGAGTATGTCGTAATCCTAGTGGATCTGCCACAAAGAAAGCTAAAGGTGCCATGAAAGAAGGCATAGTTGGCCACACAGAGGCAACACCACCATGAATGTTGTTTGGCAAAAAGAGAAAAGAAATGAAAACAGAGACATGAAATAATCCAAGCAACTGCTTTAGAATTGCCCAGCACTGCTGGGATCACACTGAAGGAGACGGACGATAGATGGATCGCTCTTGGCTCCCCGGATAAACTCTTCCAGAGAAAGCTTTCCTAAAAAATAAATAGACAGGTTGGTTTTAGCATTCTAAAACAGACAAAGTCTATGCACTGAGCACCACTGATTGCCCAACATGGGTCCCCCCCCCTACTCTTATTGAAAAAGAGAATGTACACCATCTGGCGTGAGCATGCCACAAACATCTATTTTCCATGTGCACAAAAACTTCTCACTGACCTTATGTACAGTCCCCCCTCCATTGTCACTCTCAGGCCGATTCCGCACAATCACTTGCTCTGGTGTCACCCCCTGATAATATCCGCGGAAATTGATCAGTTCCCCACATGTTGGTCCGGATCGGCAGTTGACCCGAATCTAATGGTGTTTCCCCCCCGGATATTCTGTCTCCGCTATTTTCAGGTTCTTTTTTTTTGCTGCAGTGTTGAAGTCAGGGCATTCCAGTAGGGAACTTGCAATTTGCGGTTGTCCCCTCTCCACCCCTTTGCTTCTTTCCCTCCCCTTCACGCCCATTCCTGCCTATCAACATCTCTTCAACGCCCTCCTGCTTCTCTCTCCCCCTCCCCCCTCTCCTTCCTTCCTGCCTGCAAACCTGCATGCACAGGATTTTTTTTTAATTTCCCTCACCGTGTTGCATTACAATGCAACAATGGGCCATCATTGACAGGCGTTTAAATATCCTTTTACATGTCTGTATGCTGTTTTCTCATTTCTGTTTGGAATTTGCCATTTGTATAAAGGTTTAAGCATTTTTTTTCATGTTCGTATACTGACTTCCCATCCGCCCCGCCCCCCTTCCCGGCTGCACCAATAGATGCTTTTTGCGAGTATCGAGGGTCAAAAATTAAAGGGACCGATCGGCGTTTCAGTGGGCGGTACGTTATAATGCAACCCCGCCTCCATTCAAAAAAAAAAAAAGGAGGGAGAAGAGAGGGGAGGGGGCTCTAGATTCGGGGCAAGGCGACATGCAGAAATGAACACCCAGGCAAAACCCGGGTCAGATTTCCGTAATGCGGAAACGCGCACATAGAATCAGGCCAATTAGACTCGGGGGGGGGAAGGGGGGCAAAGCATTAGTGCGGAATCGACCTCAATATAACCTTTTTGCTTATACAGTCTTCTAATTATCTGAAAGTTTTGAATGTTCTTTATTTTTTAAAAAAACCAATTTACATTCTGAATGTAACGCTCTTCAGGGTACCATGACATTCTATTACAGTGTCATACATCCCACTGAGTTAAGTAAATTTAATGTCAATGCTTAGTTGCCATTAAAAATCTTAAAAAACAAATTGAGATACTCTCAGTATTTGGTTCACAAACAAGGCCCCTGTTCAGTGATGTTTTCATGGTAGAGCTGGCAGCTCGAAATCCAGAGATTCCAGGCCCCACTGTATCCCCTGTCCCAGTATCACCTGTTCTGCCTATTTTGCCTGGGTATCCTCCTTGTTGTAGCAGGTGGGGAAAGAACAGGCCCAAAGACTTGAGTGGTGGATGGAACAGAGAGAACTTCCAGGCTGTAACATGGCAACCCTAGAATGGCTGGCATGCCCACTGCTTTATATGCAAGGATCACTCCATTACCAAGCAAATAATGAATACTATCATCTCAGTCTTAGTACTGGCAAAGAGTATTAACCTATGAGTCTGGCACTTTGCTTATCCTTGGGTGTTATATGCGTGAATGTAGACAGAGGGTCTTAGGAGTGTTAAATTTGTAGGTAGAAACTCTTTTTTCAGTTGATGGATCTCCCACAAAGGATCACCAACACACAGTACAGATCTGTTGCACTGGAGATAAAATGCATAGCTCAATGGGGAAATAATATTTCAAATCAAGCAAGGCACTACAAAAACTCCACAATATTTTTGGGTAATGAGTCATATATCTTCACATGGGCACATATTTCAAATTTATATATATGTGTGTGTGTGTGTGTGTGTGTGTGTATGAATGTGAACTGACCTCGGAAATTAAAAGCTTGCTTGACTTAGCCTTCCAAATGCTCACCATCCTCCCATACTTTTAACCACATCTGTCTCTGCTTTGCATGGCAATGAGTGAAGGAATGCCTTCCACTGGATTTGGGAGCAGAGAAAGGATTTGGGAGAGCCAGGGAAGAAGCAGGTCTCTTTTTGTTCCCCTTCCTTTGCATGGAGTGCGAATATGCCATTTTAGCCCCAATCCATGGATTGGGTTTAAAGTCAACTACAAAGCAAACTGCCCAAGTTAGAGGCCAGGCGACAAGTTTGCAAAGTTAACAATAAAACATCACTTGTCCTTATACGTTATTTCATCTTAATATAAGTACTCATCATTTCAGAGGTCCTTGGAAGCACGTTGCTGTTTACATACTGTGACATCCTTTTGTCTGCCCAGTCAGATTAGCTCTTTTACAGAGCTTGCAAAACCAGAACAGCTCGAACCAAGTTACAAAGAACACATCCAAAGATTATTTACCATCTCGATTAGTATCCATCTGACGGAAGATTTTCTCTGTTCTTTTCTCTGGTGTCGATTCATCTTCTGGCATCTTCATAACTGAAGAAACCATCTTGTAGATTGCCTGAGAAGTGGGACACAAGAAACTGTTTGTCATTGTCACGATTCCAGAGCCCATCATTTCGGGGGGTGACCCACACATTCTCCAAACCACTTTGGGGTGCCAAGGCAAATCAGCAGGCAAACTGGGCTGCCAAGACAAACTAGCAGGCAAACTGGCACTAAATCCAGGTTTAACTGTGAGCATCTGGCTTCTTGCATTCCACATTGCATTGCACATAGGTAGCCAGGGGTTACCTAGGACTCATGGTGGTGGAAAGCACTGTCAGTTCACAGCCGACTTATGGTGACTCCATTGGGCTTTCAAGGCAAGCGACTAACAGAGGTGGTTCTCCACTGCCTTCCTCTGCATAGCAACCCCGGACTTTCTTAGAGGCCTCCCATCCAAGTACTAAGCAGCCCTGGTTTCTGAGATCTGACAAACTCTGGCTAGCCTGGGCCATCCAAGACAGAGCATAGACTCCTAGACCCCACATAAAACCAAGGTAGGCACAGACACACCTTTTTACTTAGTTTTGGTGACTCTCCAGACATGTTGCCCACTTCTTCCCTGTATCTTTAAAAACTCTGGTTGTTTTATATTGTTTTCTATACTGTACATCGACTCATATATTCACAAATAAATAAATACTTGGTTGATTTAGAGTTCAGCTCTCCTGAATACGATGTGAACGAGAACTTTGTATTTAATGCGCTGTGATTTACACTTATTGATAAAATTATGAGACTTGTTATACAAACTTCATATTTATCAACAATACTTCATTCATGTATGGCTTTATATACATTTTGAATGTTTTAATGAAATGTAAGGACAGCCACTGTGGGGCAGTGGTCAGAGTGCTTAACCGGGACCTGGAAGACCCAGGTGCGAATCCCCACTCATGCTATGGAAGCTTGCTGGGTGACCTTAGGCCAGTCACTCTCTTTCAGCCTAACCTACTTCATGGGGTCATTGTGAAGACAGAACGGAGAAGGGGAGAATGGTGTCAGCCACTTTGGGTATCTAGAAGGCAGATACCTCTGTATTCCTCATACAAAACAGGTGTGTCCCTGCCAAATGGGAAAGACTGAGATGGTAGAGTCTATATTATTGCACTGCTCCTACTACAGTGACATTCACTCGCAATATATCATGCCAGTGTTAGTAGACTCCCCGGGAAAAATCGGAGTAATTCTACATCTCCCTGCTTCTTTCCGATCTTTCTTCAGAAATAACTAGCAACGTTGCAGGATTCTATATAAGGCAAGCAGTGCACGTAAGCAGATGGTTAATTCCTTAAACAAGGCTGGACTATAACGACACCTTTAAATTGCTGATCCTAATATTGTATGTGGCGAGGTTTTAAGCCGATTTTATATCAAAATAAACTGAACTGAACACTTTGGGTCCCTGTGGGGGGGGAGTGGAATGGTCAAGAGTTGCAGGACAAAAAAGGACCAGGTGGTTTGTGCCATGTGATGGCCATCTCTGTGTTTTGTGTGCAGCCCATAGCTAAAGGAGTGCCGTGCGATTACCATCTCGGTTGGTCTGCACACAGAACCTAGATGGTAATCACATTGCACAGAGCACCTGGTGGGTTTCGTCCTGCAACTCTTAGACACGCCTTTTCAGGGATCACATCTGTAGGATGGTGGGTGGGATGCCATGGATGATTGTGATACTGCTTTTGAGAATTTTAAGGAAGGTGCACAGACTTCATTATTTTCACGATGGTGATGGCCTTTGCTTATAAGCAATTACATTTGCAAGTATTCGTCCTTCTTACTTACTGAAGAGCATTTGCCCGAATTCTAAGGCTATATGAATACTCCTACCTTCCTCAATGAGAAATTTCTCAATCTTATCAAATCCTTTTTTTCTTCTCTTGAAATTCTCCATTCATTTCGCTGGAGTGGGGATCTCCAACATCATATTGGAATTTCACTGTAGTTGAAATGTGAGGACAGATAAATGCTCTGCACACCTTTGGGGATCTTTTTTCTTCTCTGAATGTTTAGCTTGAGCAGAAACATCCATATAAAAATTTACTTTATCATTTGTCTATTAAAATACTTCTATCCCATCTTTTTCCATGTGAGGGAACTCAAGCCAGTTTTATGCAAAATTTGGTGGCTGCTTTCATGGCCATAAACTGTGTGAAAAATGTCACCCCATTAATTACCACCACCACCACATGATCTCTCTTCCGCCCCTCCCAATTAAGAAGAAGGAGAGATTGGATTTATACCCCGCCCTTCACTTGGAGTCTCAGAGCAGCTTACAAACTCCTTTCCCTTCCCCTCCCCACAACAGACACCCTGTGAGGTGGGTGGGGCTGAGAGAAGTCTGACACAAACTGCTCTTTTTCAAGGGCAGCTGTGCCAGAGCTTGCGACTGACCCAAGGTCACATCAGCAGGTGCAAGTGGAGGAGTGGGGAATCAAACCTGGTTCTACCAGATTAGAGTCCGCACACTTAACCACTACACCAAATTAAGCACTGCTGTTTGGAAGATGCAATGCAACAAATTAGTACACAGGTTGATTCTGGGGTCCACACCCTGAGTCCTACGTAACTGTCACAAGTGAGTGGTGAGTTCTCCTTCTCAGTTCCCATGTGTGAAGCCTGGTTCAGATTACGACTGTGGTGCCCGTGGAGAAGGGATTTCAGTCTTCTCTGCCAGACCATTTTCTCAACCTGAAATGATCCAGGGGACACAATTTGGTCCACTGTGGAAACCCAGAGTTTACACATAAAAAACCACCATAAAAGAGAGCTCTGTAATGGCAACTGGAGGCTCCTCTCATTTTGTTTTCAGTACACAGACAATTCAGCTTCCCCAGATTTCCAGATACGTTATTTCTGTTCACGAGCTCAGCTCAGCTTTCAGTTCTCCTAACCTTTAAACAGAGCATGCAATTCTGCATCCAGAAAGGCATTTGCTAGTTTAATGAAATATTTATGTTTGCTTAATGTAATCAAGTCTCAGTCTCTCTCTCTCTCTCTCTCTCTCTCTCCCCCCTCCCCTCTCTCCCCCTCCTTCCTGGTATTGACATTATGGCAACGCATTTTACTCTGCCATCTAGTAGTTATAGAAAATAGTGTGGGATGAACAAACCAAATGCCAGCATTAACTGCTGCCAGTCAAGTGCAAAGAACCATTAGCAACATACCCCAATCAAAAACAATCTATTCTTTATTGCAGGGAAGATGCCTAAGCATAATAAAACACTACCTCCCCAAAAGCAGTGATCCTTCTTGAGTGTAGGAGAGACCCGAATGAATTTTTCACCCCACAAGCAGTTTTGTTCCCTTCCATGAAAGGGGTAGCTCCACCTGAACAGACAGAGGCGTGGATGACGCTTTCCCTATCCCTGAAATACTGGGGAATCTCAGAGTATATCAGAGTCTATTTACTCAGAGGACGGACCAGCTCTTCTCCAGGAGCATATGGTTGTTTTGGCTGCTATGCAATAGCCAGTCAGGCAACCAAACACAGCAGAATTTATAACAATGCAGCAGTGGGTGGAAGGTTCGGGCCAGAACCTGCTGGGCAGGAACAGATGCTGCCCTCTGGTCCCCTTCCAGATCCTGACATTACTGTGGGAAATGCAGACACAATACGCTTCCATCAAGAAACACTGGGGATATGACCCAGGCTGTCAAAAGCAATGAGACTCAACATTAAGCTCCTAACTCCCTCTTCAACATGAGAACAAACCAGAGAAGCTGACTGGTTGCGACAGCTGGACCACAAACAGCACCTCTTCATTAAAACGAAACGGAACAAACAAAAAAAACCCTGGAATTTTCAGAATTCTTGTTAGAATCGTCTGCTTTCAGAGCAACAAACAAAATTGAGGGGTCTCAAGTGAGGCTTCTCGGATGCCCACGGGTGTCTTGTAAGGACTCCCCACATTTGTTTTTGCTTTGCGGCTCTTGGGTGTGCTTGTTCAGCTCATCCAAGTCTTGTGAGCCACGTGGAATGCACGTAGACGCTGAACGCCTCGACTGCACGGCTGGTGGAATCTCTACAGCAGAAAGCATGGCAACCCTTGCCCCATTAAACAGTATTCCTTTCCCAGGACTGCTTCATACATTTCCAGTTCTAAAAAAACCCCAGATGAAATGTAATAAAATCACGAGGCATGTGATGCAGTTGTACTGCGTAAATCGGTGAGGCACAGTGGTTAGAAAGTCATATTATGACAGGGGAGACATGAGTGCAAATTCCCTTTCCTCAGCAGTGAAGGTCCCTAGGTGATACCTTAGTCAGTCACTTGCTCCCAGCCTAACCTACACTGCAGAGTTGTTGTGAAGGAGGGGCTTTCAGCTCCTGGGGCAGAGGATAGATTAAAAACGTCACGGCCAGATAAATAGTTAAGCTGACTGGGCCCAATAAGATGTCCGGCTTTTAGAGGAAAACAGTCTGTTGGTGCAACCTTAACACTTCTAAGAAAACTGATGTCAGTCCATTGAAGTCAGTGGACTCAGAAAGCTGTAAATCTGCTTTAGGTTTTAGTAAACCCGTCTAAAGGAGCGGCCAGAGTTGTCAGTCATATGCTACCTTTGTACAAACAAGTGAGTATTCAGAGAGCAACCACTCGCCGTCTTGCATTTAACCATTCTGATCGATTGTTCCAGGTGTAACAGATGAATAGGTCTAAGGTCCGGAGACCCAAACATACACAGGAACACACCACTCTACCAACAGGCAGCTCAAATACCAGAAAATACTTCTTAAGGGGTTCAACAGGATAACTGAAGCTTTAGTGCTGCTTCATATGGAAAGAATACATTTCCTAACATGTTTGTTTTCTGCCATAGATATACATATCAGAGAGCCATGGTTTTATTGGCTTCCCATTTAAAAAAAAAAACCCTCATGCCAGCTTAGACTTGTTATAAAATATGTGCTGTTTCTGATGGAGAGATGAGCCAACATGTTGAGGAAGAAAAGTAATGTCTAAAGAGCCCTTTTATGCATGTATCCATATGGCGGGTGGCTCTATGGCATTTCAGCGGCACACAAGCCCCATAAACAAAAAAAACAAAAAAAAAGCTCCAAAGGGCTTGCAAAGAGTCCCCCACTGGCCCAAACAGCTAACAGGGAGATTTGGAGGCTGAGTGTAATATGGACAACTTCTGGCAAAGAATAGTTGATGCAAAACCTCCCAGTCCTGCTTGTTTCTCTAGACACAGTTTCCTGCACTTGCTATTTTGTTGTGTGGCAAAGAGAGAACAGGTTGTACATGAGTCACTATAATTCAGTGATAAAGTGCACACTTAACACAAATAGCACACACAGGGTGTAATCTCTAGCATCTCTACATGACCGCAGGCAGAAGATATGGAAACACCCATGAGCCCAGGAGAGTTGTTGCCCGTCAGAATATGCAACACTGGGCTAGACAGACCAAAGGCCAGACTCAGTTTATGGCGATTTCCATATTATATGTATATATAGAGAGATGTACACACACACACAAACACACACACAAGCAGGGGACCCACAAGGCCTTGCAGGGGACATCTCATTAATCCCCCCCACATACACTATTTCTTTTCCCTTCCCTAAAAGCCTCTATAGATTCTCCCTTTTTTCTACTTCCTCCTTTCTATCCACCAGCCAGCCTACTGTTATCTGCCCCCCTGTGTTCAGCTTTCCCTCCTTCACTCCCCCTGGCAGCCTCTGTCCAGGAACTATGACCAAATTGAGCAGTGTCACACACTGGGCCTGGGCCAACTGTGCAGTGCCAGACACCCGCCCCAGATACATGGTGAGTAAGCTGGAAGGGCTTGGGGGGCACCTCACTTTCCCTCTCCCCACTCTATATCTCCTCTTCCCCTTCCCCTGGAAACCCCCATATCTTCTCCTTTCCCTGCTTCTTTCTTTCCTTACCACCTACCCATCCACCTACCTTTTTATCTCCTCCCCATCTTCAGCTATATTTATTATTTATTTACTTCATTTATATACTGCTTTTCTCTACAATTAGATTCAAGTCCAGCAGCACCTTAGATGAACAAGATTTTCAAATGAAGGGAGCTTTGCCTCTTGATAGTTTATCAAGTTTCAGAGTATAAAATATTATTGGTCTCCAAGGTGCTACTGGACCCAAATCTAATTGTTCTACTGCAGACCAACTTGGCCACCCACTGAAACTTTCAACACAATGGGGACCCAAAGCAAGTTACAGCATTCTCCTCTCTTCCATTTATCCTCACAACAACCCTGTAAGGTAGGTTAGATTGGAAAGTGTCACTGGCACAAGGTCACTCAGAAAACTTTCACAGCAGAATGAGGATTCAAACCTGGGTCTACCAGATTCTGTTCTGGTACTTTAACCACTGCGTCACACTGGCTTTCATGTGGTTGCTGCTGCTGAACAGCAGCAAGCAGCCAGTCCTGGCTGAGTCATGCAAGACGCATGGTATCAGGTTGCCCAGTGGTTACTGCCAAGACTGGACTCAATGAGTCCTCTCTCAAAGGCCAAAACAGCCCTGGAAAGGACTCCTCCTCCTAACTTGTATGGATAGAAACCAAGGCTTGAAGACTGGCAGTGCTATTATGGTTGCCTAGCAACTCTACAATGAGAGGGCATTCGTTTCTTAAAGCCAAAGGCACTGCTTCTCTTATTTTGAGTAATTCTAACCTCCCAATGTATTTTTTTAAGATTTCAGAATTTTCTGCAAACCTGAGGCTTTTTTCAGGTTTGTAGAAAGATATGTGTTATCTGTTCAGGGCTCCAGGGATTTAAGTATCCACAGATTTGGCCATGTTGAGCACAGTGATGATGAGCTCTCATGTGGACATGAGTGTACAATACCATCAGTGTACAATACCATCCAATAAGCAATGAAGGGCATGGCCCAGGTGCCATTAATAGTACACATTTTTTGATCTATTGCCCAGGACTAGGGTTGAGTTCCCTTGGTTGGGAAATAGATAGAAATCTGTCCTCAGGTCACTGAGATAAGAATCCCAGCTGGCAGAGCCTCACCATTCATAAGCTTGATGCAGTAAATCAGAACCAGGAAACCCTCGGCATGAGATAAGACACAGCCCTTGTCTACATTAACAGATGGGGATTCAGAAATGAAGCACACCCAGAAATCTTTGTTCCATTCCAACCAGTAGTTAAACTTTACGCAGGTTCTAAGGTTATATATTTTTCTATTCAAGAAAATACATGAGAGGCCAAGAATGATGGAGGATTTATGGCTCGTTCATTGTTCATAAAACCAGTACTCAATCAATCTGTATTGGGGAGGAGAAGAGAATTCTTTGAAACAATATATACCTGGACTATTTCCAACATTTCTGCCTTGCTGATGTATCCGTTTCCATCCAGGTCATACATGCTGAATGCCCACTTCAGCTTTTGCTCCAGTTTTCCTCGGGACGTTACACTCAAGGCTATGATAAATTCTCTGAAGTCTATCGTTCCATCACCGTTAGCATCAAAAGTACGGAACACGTGTTCAGCAAATTTAGAAGCGTCCCCATAAGGAAAGAAGTTCCCATAGATTTTCTTAAACTCCTCCATGGACAAATGTCCACTTGGACAGTCTCTCAGGAAACCTTTGTACCATTCCTGGATCTCGTGTTCTGTAAAGTCTGTGCTTTCTAGCAAATCTTGCATGACTTCGGGGCGTAGCTTGCTATTCTGTTTTCCCATGTTGGCGTCAGGAACTTATCTAAAGAAGGGAGGAAAAAACAAGTTTATTTCTTATATGCAAAACTAGAGGCTTATGGTGAACACTTTAGGCTTTAGAGCAATCTTATAAAGGATGACTTTGTTGTAAATAGTCAGCATTTTTGTTGGATTAGTTCCATGTGGAATACAAACTCAAACTATGGTCCTAAAGAATGCTGTGTGTACAAATACCTAATTTTCTTAGGGTTTCCAGGCCTGCCATGGTAACCGGAGAAGGGTTGGGGTCATGGACGTCTGGGGGACAGCATCACAAAAATGATGATGTTATTTCCAGGGAAAACTTGGAAGTGACAGCAGTAGCTCTAGGAACTACCAGAAACCCTGTGGTAAAATCACCATCTACCAACTTTTGGTTCTGGATTTTCCACAGAAGTTATGGTATCACTCTTGCAAGGCCAGTGAGTTTTTAAATTTTTTCCTTTGCCATCACTTGGAAGGGTTACAGGCAACAGAATCTCAGGATGGGAATCCCCCGCCCGAATTGGGGGCTTGGCAGACCTGTTTCTGGCTGTAGTCTTCACTCCATTTCAAATCCCACTCTGGGTAATCCCCCAACTCTTTGGAGGCCCAAGCAAGCCCAATCTCATCAGATCTCGGAAGCTAAGCAGGGCCGGCCCTGGCTAGTATTTGGATGGGAGACTTCCAAGGAATACCAGGGTCATGATGGCAAGCTACCTCTGAACATCCCTTGCCTTCAAGCCCCACTAGGGGTCGCCAGAAGTCAGCTTGACTTGATGGCAAAAAGAAAAGAGCAGCTTTTGGAAGTCACATGTTAGCAGGGGAACCTGAAACATCCTTCTCCATTCATGGAACGTCTCCTCTTCCATAAATGCAAGTGTCCTTAAGTCTCGGAACTTGTGGTTGGATACAGGCTGTAATTAGAATGTAACACTACATAGAAAAAGTGAGAGAAACTTTAACTGTACGTAGCGAGGAGGTCATGAGAAAACTTTTAAAAAATTAAATTAGATTTTTAAAGTAAAAAAGAAATAGAACATGGCATTAAGATAGAATCTCAAGGCTTAAACATAAAATTATTTTTCATAACAATTTTAATATCTTGGTGGCCAGGTATCAAAACCAATTACTAGTTATAAATTGGTTTAGCCAAGAGCCTTTGAAAATATCTTTGCAAGAAAAAAAGATCCACCACAGTGCTCTTTAAATTAAAGTCTGTCCTTAAATTAAACCATCAGACAATATATCTGAATACAGCTTTTATGTCCAGGTTTTCAATTCAATTACCACTGTTACTTTTGTTGAAAGGAAATTGCTCTATCCCACACTGCACTACAAGTCTAGCAAAGATTAGTGCCTTTTGGCTATTAAACAACATTTCAGAAGGTGAAAGCCAAGTTGTAAGGGAAGTTTAATTAGGCCTTCTAGAAGTTCTGAAGGTGCCCCTTCACAAAAGAACTCCTAGCTTCATGGTTCCTTCAGCTGATAAATTCATGTGGGTAGCCATGTTGGTCTGAAGCGGCAGAACAAAGTTTGAGCCCAGTGGCACCTTTAAGACTAACGAAGTTTTATTCAAAGTGTCTGCCATTTCCTGCAGTATGGAAAGCCATTTTAATGAAAAGTACTGAATGCAAATAGAACTCCTTGAGCAAACAAAGACCACAACAACATGAACTGATAATGCACTCTGTAATATTAAAGGTAAAGGTTTCCCTTTCTCGAAAGCCAGTTGAATCCGACTCTAGGGATGCGGTGCTCATCTCTCTTTCTAAGCCGAAGAGCCAGCGCTGTCTGAAGACGTTTCCATGGTCATGTGGCCAGCATGACTAAACGTCGAGGGGCACAGAACGCTGTTACCTTCCCACCAAAGCGGTACCTATTTATCTACTTGCAATTTCTTGCTTTTGAACTGCTAGGTTGGCAGGAGATGGAACCAGAGACAGGAGCTCACTCCATCTTGCGGCACTAGGGTCTCAAACTGTTGAACTACTGACCTTCCCGTCTGCAGCTCAGCATCTTAACCTCTGAGCCACCATGGCCCAAATCTGTAATATTATACCCTCCCAATTTCCCTGAGCCGTAAGATGTTCCAAGGATAGCACTCCTGGGGTTCGGTTTCCTTGGGATGGTTTCTTCATTTGTAAATAAAGCAGAGTTTTTCAAGAAAGTAGAGCATACAGCCCAACAGCTATATAAAAGTTCCCCATATCTGGGTAACATACGTTGTGTACTACGGTCATTGTTTGCTGTTATGGAAACCAAGGACACGTTGTGTTATCTACCTCCTCCTGTTCACCACCACCACGCACACACACACACACACAGGTTGGGGAAGGATACATGTAAGACCTGTTTCCACACACCCCCACACATGGGAACATTACATTCAGATTAACGTAGGGAATTAGCTCACACATTTGTGCCGAGTGCAGAAAACCAGGATCTTTTATCTGAAGAGGTGACAGTGAGAAAAGTTTTCAGTAGGAAAAAGATGACAACTGATTTTAAAGGAATATAGAGTTTATTGAGAGATTTGGTACGACAGTGCATGGGGGTGGGGGGCTTATCCTAAGCATATTGCCAGGGCTTCTAAATCAAAGCACAGAAACGTTCCTTATCCTAATTAATATAGCAACAACCACCAGTCAGCAGAGCTACTCCAGATTGGAGCAGGAGTTACTCTTTGGGCTAAGGTGTACATGTGGGGAAACGGGGAACAGGACAGAGGAGAAGTGACATCCGTGGGGACAGAGGTGTCCAGTCTTCCAGATGTGAGGGCCTAAAGAGCAGAGAGGAGCAAAGTACCTGCCCTCTGTGCAGGACAAGTGTGGTCTGGAAATTTGGAAAATGAGGGGAGGATAGATCAAGAAGGAGAGCAAAGATTACCTGTCCTATTCTTAGATGAAATCAGATGAAAGGAGGAGGGATCCAGTGTGTGTTGGAAGCCTCTGTTGCAGTTCAGTCGGTATCCAGGATCAGACTCTCATTACTGGTTCTAAAGCCGGGCTAGTTATACTGTTATTGGCCCTTAACATAAAATGAGTTATTTTCAAGAAACAGAAAATTACTATAACAGAGGATAAAGGAATACTTGAGGGCTGGGCAATTTATCAGGAGAAACCTATAAAACTGACTAAATGGTACTGGGGAAGGGCAACAGGAAGGGACGTTTTTGACTGAGTTGTAATTCAGGATTACAAAACTGGAGGCATGCAGCTGTGTCACATATTCA